TGAATCCCCCCGGAGCAAAAAAAAAAAAAAAAAAACAAAGTTTTCCTGTACTGTGTTGTTGTTAAGGCCCATAGTTTACAGCAGGGGTCTCAAACTCAGGTCCTGGAGGGCCGCTGTGCTGCATGTTTTCCAAGTCTCCCTGTTGCAACACACCTGATTCAAATGAACAGGTTCAATGTCAGGCTTGCGCAGAGCTTGCTGATGATCTGATCATTTGAATCAGGTGTGTTGCAACAGGGAGACTTGGAAAACATGCAGGACACCGGCCTTCCAGGACCGGAATTTGACACCCCTGGTCTAGTGGGTAGGATGTGTCGCTTTCACCGATGCGGCCCGGTTTCGATTCCCAGTCACGGAAAAGCTGATTTTGTGAATGGCATTGGTTCAGTTCACGAGGCATTTACTTTGGCGCTACTTCACTCCCTTAACAGACTGAGGGAGAAAGAGTTTCTAGAAGAACTCTTTCCCTGATGGTCTAGTGGGTAGGATTTGTCGCTTTCACCGATGCGGCCCGGTTTCGATTCCCAGTCACGGAAAAGCTGATTTTGTGAATGGCATTGGTTCAGTTCACGAGACATTCACTTTGGCACTACGTCACTCCCTAAACAGATTGAGGGAGAAACAGTTTTCAGAAGTGTTCTGTCCCTGATGGTCTAGTGGCTAGGATTTGGTGCTTTCAACGCTGTGGCCCTGGTTCGATTCACGGTCAGGGAAAGGCTGATTTTGTGAATGGCATTGGTTCAGTTCACGAGGCAATTGCTTTGACGCGACGTCACTCCCTGAACAGATTGAGGGAGAAACAAGTTTTTAGAACAGCACTTTCCCTTTTGGTCTAGTGGCTAGGATTTGGCGCTTTCACTGCTGCGGCCTGGGTTCGATTCCCAGTCAAGTCAAACCTGATTTTGTGAATGGCATTGGTTCAGTTCACGAAACATTCGCTTTGGTGCTACGTCACTCCCTTAACAGATTGAGGGAGTAACAGTTTTTAGAAAAGCTCAGTCCGTGATGGTCTACTGGCTAGGATTTGATGCTCTCAGCGCCGCGGCCTGGGTTCGATTCCCGGCCCGGGAAAAGTTCCTTTTGTGAATGGCATTGGTTCAGTTCACGAGGCATTTATTGGCGCTATGTCACTCCCTTCACAAATTGAGGGCGAAACAGTTTTTAGAAGAGCTCTTTCCCTGATGGTCTAGTGGCGAGGATTTGGCGCTTTCACCGCCAGAGCCTGGGTTCGATTCCCGGTCAGGGAAAAGCTGATTTTGTGAATGGCATTGGTTCAGTTCACGAGGCAATCGCTTTGGCGCTACGTCACTTTCTTAACCAATTGAGGGAGAAACAGTTTTCAGAAGAGCTCAGTCCCTGATGGTCTAGTGGCTGGGATTTGGCGTTCTCACTGCCACAGCCTGGGTTTGATTCCCGGTCAGGGAAAAGCTGATTTTGTGAACGGCATTGGTTCAGTTCACGAGGCAATCTCATTGGCGCAACGTAACTCCCTTAACAGATTGAGGGAGAAAGAGTTTTTAGAAGAGCTCTTTCCCTGATGGTCTAGTGGCTAGGATTTGGCATTCTCACCGCCACGGCCTGGGTTTGATTCCCGGTCAGGGAAAAGCTGATTTTGCGAATAGCATTGGTTCAGTTCACGAGGCATTGATTTTGGCGCTACATCACTCCTTTAACAGATTGAGGGAGAAACAGTTTTTAGAAGCGTTCTGTCCCTGATGGTCTAGTGGCTAGGATTTGGTGCTTTCAAAGCTGCCGCCCTGGTTTGATTCCCGGTCAGGGAGTACCTGCTTTTGTGAAAGGCATGAGTTCCGTTCACGAGGCATTTACTTTGGCGCTACCTTGCTCCCTTAACAGATTGAGGGGGAAACAGTTTTTAGAAGAGCTCTTTCCCTGATGGTCGAGTGGATAGGATTTGGCGCTTTCACCGCTGCGGCCCGGGTTCGATTCCTGGTCAGGGAATACCTGCTGTTGTGAAAGGCATGGATTCAGTTCATGAGGCATTTACTTTGGCGCAATGTCACTCCCTAAACAGAATGAGGGGGAAACAGTTTTTAGAAAAGCTCAGTCCCTGATGGTCTAGTGGCTCAGTTTTGGCGCTCTCTCAGCCACAGCCTGGGTTTGATTCCCAGTCAGGGAAAAGCTGATTTTGTGAATGGCATTGGTTCATTCCATGAGGCATTCACTTTGGCGCTTCGTCACTCCTTTAACAGATTGAGGGGGAAACAGTTTTTAGAGGAGCTCTGTCCCTGATGGTCTAGTACAGGGGTGGGCAATCCCAGGCCTGGAGGGCCGCTATCCTGCATGTTTTCCATCTGTCCCTGTTGCAACACACCTGATTCAATTGTTCAGGCCTCGACAGAGTTTGCTGATGATCTGATCATTTGAATCAGGTGTGTTGGAGAAGGGACAGATGGAAAACATGCAGGATAGCGGCCCTCCAGGCCTGGGATTGCCCACCCCTGGTCTAGTAGCTAGGATTTGGCGCTTTCACCGCTGTGGCCCGGGTTCGATTCCCGGTCAGGGAATACCTGCTTTTGTGAAAGGCATGAGGTTTCGAGGCATTGACTTTTTGCCCAATGGCCTACCCCCTTACCTGATTGTCGGAGAGACAGTTTTAAGAACCGCAACGTCCCTGATGGTCTAATCATGGCTCGGATTCGCTGCTCTCACCACTGCTGCCCGGGTTTGATTCCCGGTCAGGGGAGACATGCTTTTATGAATGGCATGAGTTGAGTTCACGAGGCATTGAACTCAGATGCATAAGTGGGTCAAAAATGACTCGGTGAGGTTGTTTTGTTGAAACATCTTTGGAATTTCATGTTCCAGGTATTCTTCAAAAATATTTTTTTATAGAATGTCATTCACAATTTTAACTTACCTTTCATACATTTTAAGAAATTTCAGTTTTTGTATTTCTACCCCAAAAATGACCCGAGTGCATTTTCTATGGAATCCAATGGGAACCACTGATTCTAATCAACTTTAGTTGTCAGCAATAAATTAACTGTGGACCATGCAGACTATATCAGAAGTGTCACCCCTCCAGGAAGATTATTTTACACAGTAAGAACTGATACGTGTAAGTATTATCTTCATATATATTGTGTGTCTTTCATGACTATTATTTATCTACAAATTGGCCTGCTTTATAACTAGCTAACACTAGCTTGGTAACTCAGATAGCTAACATTACTATATGCATTGTGTGTGCGTGCATGTCATTCATGATTGTTGTGTGTGTGTGTGTGTGTGTGTGTGTGTGTGTGTGTGTGTGTGTGTGTGTGTGTGTGTATTTATTTACAGAGCTACATATTGATCTATTGAAAACATTACTCTTGTCTTTCCTCATCCAAAATGTCATGGCTGCTAGATACACAGCTCAAATGGTCTGACAAATGCTGGATGATGAAGAGGCAGTAACGGGGTTGGACTCCGAATCTGAAACTTCTGATGAGGACCCAGACTATTGTCCAGGTGGTAGTATCAGTCGTCCATCTGGAAATCCAACTGAACAGGATCAATCTGACTTAGAAGATTCCTCCTTTGTGTCCTCTGAAAAAGAAAGTGTCCAAATCATGTCCAGCAGAATGAGTCGGAAGGGCTCTTACTGGAACGAGTAACACAGAGCCACAATATCCTCAGAGGACAGTCAGGGCCTGAACAAGGGCTTAGCACCACTGTCTGGATTGACCCCGCTTGCAGGAAGTGAGAAGAACTGGGATGTTCGGAAGTCCTCTACATAATCGCATGTCCAAGGCCACTATGGCTGTTGGAAGATTTGAAGACATTCGCCGTACCTTGCGCTTTGATGATAAGCGGACCAGAGCCTTCTGCCTGGAAACATATATGGCAGCCTTCCGCTATGTATGGGACCTGATCCTGGTCAACTGCAGACAGCGATTCATCTTCAGTGATTGTGTCACTGTGGACTAACAGCTTGTGACATTCAGGCGGTAGGTGCAAGTTTCTTCAGTACATGCCAAGCAAGCCTGCCAAGTATGGCCAAAAGATCTTCTGGGTTTGTGATGCAAGCATCCCCTATTCAATAGATGGTATAGTTTACACGGGGAGACAACCAGGGGAAGAAGTTCAGAAGAATCTGGGAGAAAACATTGTCCAGCAGTTGTGTAGTAGATTTCGAAACAGGTCGCAACATCACCATGGATAACTTTTTCACCAGTGTGCCACTCGCGCAGCATCTCCTGGAGAAGGAGCTCACTATTGTGGGGACTCTACGTCAGAACAAGCCAGACATCCCTCCTCTGATGAAGCCTTCCAAGTCCAGGGAGGTTTACAGCACAGAGTTTGGATTCAACGACAGCCTTACGATGGTCAGCTATGTCAGAAAGAAAAGAAAAGCTGTTATGCTCCTGAGCATGATGCACCACGACAAAGCAGTGGATGAACATAGCAGAAAGAAAAAAACAGAAGTGATTACGTTTTACAACGAGACAAAAGGAGGTGTAGACACCAGATTTTTGGCAACTACACGTGCAAGCGCCAAACACAGAGGTGGGCCACGGTGCTGTGGTACAACATAATTGACATCGGCACCCTGAATGCCTACACCTTTTTCATGGTTCAGTACCCAGATTTCAAGAGCGGCATCACCAATGCACGACGGCTGTTCCTCAAAGAGCTGTCAAAGGAGCTTGTCACACAACACATGAGGAGTCGACTGGAAAGCTGGCCCCAACTGCAAACCCCGATTATTGAAGCAATGGAAAGGTGCGGGTTGACAAAAGCCACAACCCAGACACAGGAAAGAAATACACAGGGCCAACCAAAGAGAAAAAGGCGTCAGATCTGCCTAAGTAACAAAGATCGCAAAGTCAACAATAGGTGTGGGAAATGCAATAAACCTGTGTGCAATGATCACTGCCAGAAACAGGTAGTTTGTCTGAATTGCATACAGTGATGAGACAAGAAGGCAAACAGGGAAAAGAGAGAGGAACTGTCAATCAATGACAGGACAGTTCTACACATATATACACACAGACACATGCACACGCGCACACACACACACACACACACACACACACACACACACAATGGATGCTCACATTTTTCTATTGCTGTTCTGGGTAATTTTCTTTTTAAAAAATGTTCAAACATGCAATCATTCTTGTATGGTCCAAAATATAAGACTAAATATTATACAAGTGATTATTCTTAACCAAAATGACAAAAATTTCATAAAAACGCATTGATTTTATTATAGGTCATTTTTGACCCACTTATGGAAGAGTGTAGGGTCCAGTGACTCATGCATCTAAGGGTTAAAGCAGGCAGGGGTGGGTATAAAAGAGGGGACATAAAGGAGCAGAAGGAGGGAGATGAGAGGAAGGAAAAGGACTGAATAGAGCCAGGAGTAGTAGCCCACGCAACATGGAGGAAAGTTGTTTTTTGAATTGTGAGAACAGGCTTTAGTTGGAGCTTAATATTTTTGTCAAACCTCTTTTGAAACATTCATGCACTTTGTAAAAAAAAAAAAAAAAATCATGCCTGCAACTTGTAAATAAATACTGAACTCAACCCCGTCATCCTCTTGAAATACCATCTTACCAATCTCGTCTGCTAAATTTCTCACCAGGATTTAAGAAAAGAAAGAAATACAATTTGTCTGTTGACAGCACATACCATCATATCAACATTACGAATTTGTGCATGTGTGCAATAAAGACTTTTTAAGTGATTTTTCAACCCTTCTTGCGGAAATTAGGCTCAGATATGATCATATCCTCCTGTCCATGTGTGCTGTCCGGAAAAAAAAACACTAGCAAAGGACTTCTTAAGACTTATCGACTCTTTTAATTTTGTGCAATAGCTGACCAGCCCGACACATGAACAGGAACATATTTTAGACCTTGTCCTTGCTTATGGTCTACCGGTGTCAAATCTGGAAGTCCTTGAAAATGGGATTTCTGATCACATGGCAGTTTTATTTGATGTAGTCTTATCGCGTGCTGCTGTAAAATTTGCCGCTCGTAGTTGCAACCGCCGAATTTTTAACCCTCTCACTGCTAGTCGGTTCTCTGATGCCTTTAATAACCTTTGCGTACCCTCATCTAACACAGAGGAACTCACCTCTTGGTTCAACTCATCATGCCGTGCCATCCTGGATTCAGTGGCTCCTTCAAAAACTGTGCTCCCTAAACCCGAGCCTTGGTTTAATGACAAAACTCGCGCAGCTAGGCAGGGGTTTCGCAAAGCCAAACGCAAGTGGAAAAAAGACAAATTGCAGGTC